AAAGCCGGGTCTACAATGAGTCGGTAGTCGGTAATCGGAAATCGGAAGTCGTAAGTCTTAACCTAAGTCGGTGACTCTATCAATTTTTCGCATCCACAATGAGTCGCTAGTCGTAAAGCAAGTCTCTCAGCTGGACCAATAGGAAAGCTGATTTTAGCAGCATCCACTTGCTTCCAACAATGTTTTTTATCTATATTTTTATATGTTTTCACATCTTTTGCGTACAGACAAGGATTTGCCTGCACAATTTTAATTATTTCTAGGTTGTCCAGATTCATTTTGATAAACACACATTGGGCTTGTTCGTTTTAACTGCGCTGGGGCAGCTCTGGGTCTGCTCTAAACAAGATAATACAGGACAAACTATTTATCTGTCCTGTATTATCCTGTGTAGAGCAGACCCAGAGCAGCCCTAGTGTAGCTAAAACGAACAAGCCCATTGATTAACACACATAAACACGTGAGGCATGCATGCCTAGAACGTCGAGGCGTTTGATTGGCCAGTCGTAAGAAAATCGGTAGTCGGTGTCGTTAAAAAAAAAGTTGGCTGTTGGCCAACTCTACTAACTCACCGATTACGACTTACCGACTACCCTTCCGACTCGTTGTAGGGCGGTATTCATAGTCCGTTCTTATATTCAAGATCGTCTTAAGCACGAACTTATATTCGCTCTCTTTGTCAGACACAATCTATGTGTGACGAAGAGAGCGAATATAAGTCCGTGCTTAAGACAATCTTAAATATAAGAACGGACTATGAATACCGGCCGTAGACCCGGCTTAACATGTAAACGTAGTCGAAGACTACTCGCTTTATCGGCGTTGAATGAGTTGACATAAATTCGTATTTGTTTTATTACCGGTGTCGATGAGTTTCAAGAGTGGTCGAAAAAATTGCTGAAGGAAGACATTTAGGGAAGAAGAAATTCGACAACAATAAATAAACGAAAAGTAGCAAGTAAGTTTTTCTTTCTTTTTTCTAATCGTATAAAACCATTGAGTTCTATAACATACTGGAGCGAGTCTTTCAGGAGTGGGGGTGTCTCCATCGATCGAAAAAGACAGATAGATTTACGTGAGGCTAGTCTTCCTAGAGCACTAAAGATGTAGGTATTCTACCGTCTGCTCTGGTCTCCACCATTTCTGTTCCGTTCCTCCATTCCTTGCCCTCACGCCTCTGTCACTGAGCTGACAAGTTTATGATAATTAGGTTATGGTTTCTAAGTTGCTCGAACTCTGTGTTTACGTGTATTTGATTATCCGAATGTGAACAAAAAGAGAGTCTTGGACACCAACCAAATCATCGTGCCTCTGTGAAGTAAGTTTATTCTCTTAAATTTCTAATTTACGTACTTTTTCTGTTTGTTTAGAATCATGGATCGTTTTTTAAAGTTGTAGTTTAGATTTGTCATCGTTTGAATGACATAAATATGAATAACTGTAATCAATAAGGAC